GCCTGCAAAATTTCTGTTGAGAAATCAGCTGACAGTCGTATGGGTACTCCCTTGTAGGTAACTGATTTTCTTTCTCTTGCTGCTTTTAGGATTCTCTCTTTGTCTTTTGCTCTTGGCATTTTAATGATGATGTGTCTTGGTGTGGTCCTCTTTGGATTCCTTTTGTTTGGGGTTCTCTGCGCTTCCTGGACTTGAAGTCTATTTCTTTCACCAGGTGGGGGAAGTTTTCTGTCATTATTTCTTCAAATAGGTTTTCCATAATTTTTCAACTAACTCCACGAAAGGGCCTTTAGTTGTTTCTGTAGTAGTACGGAACACGCATACTAGATACTTTTAGGTACTACAGAACCTTGAACACACATGCTTTCAGGTACTGCGGACCCTGGAACACGCATGCTTTCAGGTACTGCGGACCCTGGAACATGCATAATTTCACTTGCAAATTGAATGCATCTATAGGTTACAAACAGAGACTTGCTTCATGCCACGGGCTGGCCAACCTGGAATCCATAGGCGGCGAGCGGGCTGGAGCCTCAGGCAGGCAGCCCTGTGTCTGAAATGTGTGCAGCAGGCAGGCAGGCTCAGGAAGGAAAGATTTTAAAACATGGAGATGGCGATTTCACTCATACACTCCCTTTTAATTCAGCCAACAAATATTTACTACATGGCAGGCTCTGTGCCAGGCACAGGGTACATAATGTGAGGAGACACAGACCGGGGCCCATTCTCCAGGGGCTTCCTGACGCTTCTGACAAACCAGGCCTCTCTCCGGCAGCTGCAGGCTCTCCCGCCTCCGCCCTCACCGACTCCAGGGTGTTCCCATCTGCCCTGCTCCTACTTTGACCCTGCTCTGAATGGCGTCACCGCGCTCCTCCTCCCCTCCTGCCCGCAGCCCCACTTCACAGAGGAGCAGAGCTGCTGGCTGGCATCTCCACTCTGGCACCCCTGCAACAGGAACAGTCTGCTGGGCGCTGAGCTCCGGCCGCTGTGAGCCCGTCCCCTCTCCCTCCCAGTGGGGACCCCCCCCCCGCTCCCCCCCCCCCCAGTTCCCTCCTGGGAAGCATCTGGCAGTGCTGTCACCTGGGGCTTTCCTTTTCCCACCAGAGCAACCGCAGACTGAGGGGCCCTCCTGGTGGCACTGTGCGGGCCTCAGGGGCGCTGTGCTCAAGAGAAACCGCTCTTCTTACCCTTCAGACACGCCTCAGCCCCACCCCGGGCTCTGGGGCTTTCACAACCGTGTCTTGTCTGTGGGTGGTTGCTGGCTGGCCTTCTTTTTTTTAATATATTTTATTGATTTTTTACATAGAGGAAGGGAGAGGGATAGAGAGCTAGAAACATCGATCAGCTGCCTCCTGCACACCCCCCACTGGGGATGTGCCCGCAACCAAGGTACATGCCCCTGACTCGAATCGAACCCGGGACCCTTCAGTCCGCAGGCCGACGCTCTATCCACGGAGCCAAACTGGTCAAGGCATGGCTGGCCTTCTTGTGAAGAGGACTGAGGTCAGGAATGACCTCTGGTGCCCTCTGGATGACATCACCCCAGAAAGGATTGCTCTGTTACAGTCTTGAGGCAGAATTCCTTCTACTCTGGGAAACATCAGTTTCTGCTCCGAAGGTCTTCCAACCACACCAACAGCGGCAATCCCCTTCACCTGTGGTGTTAACTGTCACCTACGAAATGCCTTCACCGCAGCACCTAGATGAGTGTCCAACCAGATAACTGGGCACCACAGTTAACAAACAATTTAACCCCCCTATCCAGGTCCTCTCCACGGCGGCCGTGCCAGTCACTCTCTTCCCTGGAGTGTGTGAGAGTGGCATGTCCCAAGCGGCCGTGGAGGAGCCTTACCAAAGCGTTAGAAAGAGGCCCTGGTTGGCGTCCAACGCCTCACACGACTACGCGAGTAATAGCCGTAGCTCTGTGACAGCTCCTCCAGTGTGCCGGGGGCTGAACTTAGTTTTGCTGGGGAAGGTGGGGGACACGATATTAAACTGATTTTCAAAAATCTCCTTCAAACGGTAAATTCCCTCTGTAGACAATGTTCTTCCCGAGGAAATCTCTCTCCCCCGCAGGACACTGCTTTCTCCGGAGGTCTGACAGCTTGCTTGCTGTGCGCATGCTCTTGGCTGCCCAGCAACTTGGACCATCCTCAGCACTATCACTGTCACCCATGCAATCCCAGGTGATCAGGGTAAGACACTCTCCTCCGAAGAGAGGACAATTGCTATTTTCTTTCAATTCCAGTGTATGCTGATTTAGGGGTAGGAACACATATTTATTGCCTAAATGTTTTACTTTGGTAAGTGTACATCTGTTATATAATATGAATCTGGAAATGAGTCTAGAAATAACTTGTGAGGCCATCTGATCTCTACCCCTTACATTCCCATGTAAGACAACCATGTGAAAGCAGCCAACACATAGGCCCATGGACTCTATTTCTACCAACTCGGATGTCTTCTTAAAGGCTAGAGCCTGATGGTTTAAACGTCAGTCCAAAAAGGACCTTGAGAAAATAAATTCTTCAAGGATCTTTTCCCTGGTTAAATATTGAAGATAATGCTCTAGGCTTCGTATGCCTCAGCTACTGGTCCACTTAAAAGTTCTCAATCTGATTACCATGGAAGTAAATGAGAAAGCCGACAAGAGCTCTAAGTATTTGGTGCAGTTTGCCGTGAGATGCAACAGTTACCTGTTACCCAGGGGCACTGTTCCAGAGTTTGGGCGGTTAACAGAGAAAGTTACTCCCAAAATGCTTCTATACCTGAGCTTTTCTAGTGAGGGTCAAATGTCTGTGGAAAGAAGTAATTCGCTCTCATGCAGTCTAAGAAGGGTGGGCTGTTTAATTACTGAGAACATGAACTGAGGTACAACATAGGGCTGAACATACACCCTCACCCCTGCATCAAATGTTGATGGAGAATGATATCAAGACTTAAAGTGTCTGAGTGGGTAGCTTTCAATCCAGTGTCGGTATTCAGGGGTATTATAAGAGTCAGGATCTTAACCGGTCATAGAAAAGATTAAACATGAGGTGAACGAGAATAGATAGATGGTGCTATGGCTTCGCTAATGCTCTGGAAATGGGTGCTGCTAGTTGTCTTTCTGAGGACTGGATGAGTCTCTCCTGGTGGCACACTAATATTCTAGGCACGTGTGGATGTGTGAAGACTTGGGCTGCCATCACAAAATCACTCCCAACGGCAAAGAACTCATAGAGGCGTGTTCCGGAGGCAGCTCAGCTTCTGCCGCGCCACCTGGCGTGTAGTTGGGGGGCCGGGTGGGCATCTCTCTGCTGGGGCCTCAGGGCCTAGGCTTATGTTTTCTCCCTAGTTCCTCTCCGTCCCCAGGGCAACCCTTCTCTGACCCTGCTCACTGCCAGGGAGCCCGTGGGGTCAGATCAGGACAGAGCTGCTCATTAAGTCACTGTCAGGAGATTCCAGGCTATGAGCCGGGCAGTTGAAGTAAATTACAGGTATAGTGTCTCATTACTCAGTTTAACAACAGTTTCGAGCATAACTCTTTCAGGCGCTCTCTGTCATCACGCTCATTACCGGTCCCAAGGCCAATCTCTAGACCAGTGGTTCTCAACCTTGGCTGCACATTAGAATCCCCTGGGAATCTTTTTAAAATCCTGATTTCCGGGCCCCGTCCTCCGGAAATTCTGTTTCTTTGTTACTAATGTTTTGGCCCCGCCCCATAACAAAGAAACAGAATTTCCGGAGGATGAGGCCCAGAAATCAGGATTTTAAAAAGATTCCCAGGTGATTCTAATGTGCAGCCAAGGTTGAGAACCACTGCCCTAGACTCTTCTGATTGTATCACTCAGTTCTGGGTTCCAGGTCAACAGCTGCCCTCCAGCTTCCCAGGTGACCGGCTGACTGCTGGTTCAGAGAGTTGTGAGCCAACAGAGTGGTCATTGGCTAGTTAGCCATACTTTTGATGAAAAACACACACAAAAAAACCTCAGAAATGTCTCTGACTTACGTTAATCCTATTTCTTTCATTTTGAAATAGGGCTTGAAAAATGAATAATAAGAGTTTACCAGGTGGGCAAGGGGAGAGAGTCATTCCACGGTCAAAGGCTCAGAGACCCAAAAGAGTGAAGAGAGATGGAGAAACTTTATTCTCCAGAACCTGGTACACAGGCAGGGCTTGGGGGATGGCTCCCATCAGTAGTAGAGTCATGTACGTATAATGATTTTGGAATTTGGGGAAAGAGAGGGGACATGAGGGAAGAACTGAACATGATGTGCCATTGTGTGGAATGGGATATTATCTTTCCTCAGTGCGACCCCCAATCTTAAGTAACCTTACTAGACTTAAGAGAGGCTGGATGTTTGGGAATTTTTTCTGGATTCCAGTCTTAGGGAAGAGCTCAGACAACGGGGCCAAGGGCAAGAGAACAGACACAAGGAACCATCAGGACCACATTTTTGTAAGAATTTTTAAGATACCACTTTGGGACTGGGTGGATCCTTTGTGTAAAAAAGAGGCACTGCGGCCAGCTGGTGTGGCTCAGTGGTTGCGTGTCGATCTATGAACCAGGAAGTCACGGTTCGATTCCAGGTCAGGGCACATGCCTGGGTTGAGGGCTCGATCCCAGTGTGGGGTGTGCAGCTGATCAGTGATTCTCTCTCATCATTGATGTTTCTATCTCTCTCCATCCCCCTTCCTCTCTGAGATCAATAAGAATATATTTAAAAAGAAAAAGAAAAAGAGCATCGCATCTCCAAGGCAGTTGGGGTTCTCCTCTGAATTGCCCCGCACCAGGGCAGCTTCGAGGGCAGAGGTGAGCACTGGCGGGCTGCACCCCACTCACCTCCCTGGCTGGACGACCTCTGCCTGACAGCTGGCACAAGTCCACGCGGCAGCATCAGCTGCGAGGAAGCACACGGGGGCATTCCCAGGGTGCAGGCCTTTTTTTGATGCAAAAAGACCATTTTTCTAAAAGAATCTGGGTTTTGCTTACCCAGTTCTATCATTCCCATACGTCTCCAAGCCCTATGGGTTCTTCGGGTTAGTAATTCATCATAAAAGTATTATTATTTGTACTTGATATTCTGACTTACCGTTTACTGCAAAACTTGTAGGACTGGTTTTCCATTTTCAGTTTTTGTTGTCATTGATGTTTTCTTCTGAAAATAGAGATAACAAAGGAGCACTAAAATCCTGGGCCTGGCCCTAAATGGTTTGGCTTAGTGGATAGAGCGTCAGCCTGCGGACTCAAGGGTCCCAGGTTCGATTCCGGTCAAGGGCATGTACCTGGGTTGCGGGCACATCCCCAGTGGGGAGTGTGCAGGAGGCAGCTCATCGATGTTTCTCTCTCTCTCATCGATGTTTCTAACTCTCTATCCCTCTCCCTTCCTCTCTGTAAAAAAATCAATAAAGTATATTTAAAAAAAAAATAGTCAGTTAGCCTCTTCTGAATCATAAAGAACCGGCTACCAACTCCCAGAATAATATTTAACCCCCTTCACCTGCTTACAGGCAAACGAGCGGATGCAAAGGAGCGGAGCTCGGAGCTTTGCATGTGCCTCTCAGGAATCCTCCCGCATCGGTGGGAAAGCTGAGCCAGACCTGGGCTGGGCTCGCTTCCTGGGCGCCTCTGCCTCCATCGCAGCTCCCAGGCAGCCCAAGCTCCAGCTTAAAGGCTCCCTCTTCTCTTCACACGGCTCAGTCCCCGACCTCAATCATGGAGAAAACCAGCCTTTCTCCCCATCCATGAGGACTCTCTAGGCCAGTGGTTCTCAACCTGTGGGTCGCGACCCCTTTTGCCTTCGAACGACCCTTTCACAGGGGTCGCCTAAGACCATCCTGCATATCAGATATTTACATGACGATTCATCACAGTAGCAACATGACAGTTATGAAGTAGCCACGAAAATAATGTTATGGTTGGGTCACAACATGAGGAACAGTATTTAAGGGGCCAGAAGGTTGAGAACCACTGCTCTAGGCGCTTCTCTTTTGCCAAGTCAGATCCTGTCCTAATTGTCTGGTTCAGGAGGAGATGTGCAACTGTGACTTGTCTTTATTCCAGTCCTAAAACAGTCCACACAGGACACCGAGGCCCCATTCCTTAACCTTCACACCTATGCTGACCGCGTCCGTGAACACAGGCCGAGAAGGGGCTGCTTCTCCCGGAGGCGAGGGTGAGGCCACACTGAGCGCGCGGGTGCCGTTCTTAGAATTCTGAGTCGTCCATGTCTTTTTCCCTCCTCAGGTCTCAGCTACTTTTCCAGGCGCCTTGGATCCTTCCTGGGATCCTTCCCTTCACCCCACTTTACACCCAGCTGTTCCTGGGTCTCCCCATTATTCTTAGCAGAGTCTTAGGGTTCTTTCCCCTTTTTCTCTCTGCATTGCTTCTAGGCCCTCCAGCCTGATTTTCAACGGCACTGATGTCATTATTTACCGAGGCCCTTAATGCTGACAGTTCGGTTGTTCCCAGCTTCCTGTGTTTATGACTTTGCTGCAAACATATACCCTTGAGTTTACGTCTTTGCATGCATGCCCAAATGGAACTACAGAGTCATTTTTAAAAATAGTAATTGCTGCCCTAGCTGGTTCAGCTCAGTGGATAGAGCGTCAGCCTGCGGACTGAAGGGTCCCGGGTTTGATTCCAGTCAAGGACACATGCCCAGGTTGTGGGCTCAATCCCCAGTGAGGGGTGGGGGGCGTGCAGGAGGCAGCCAATCAATGATTCCCTCTCATCATTGATGTTTCTAACTCTCTCTTCCTCTCCCTTCCTCTCTGAAATCAATAAAAAAATATATTAAAACACACACACGCACACACACACACACACACACACACACACAAAACTGCATTCTGCCAGCCTTGACTGTCTTCCTGCTACAGGTCTCATACTTTTATTATTTTAGCCCCTTTTCTCTTTGGTAGTGAAGAAAGGCTTACCAGAAAGTTTTTTCTTAAAGACAGGAAAAAAGTCACCCCTATCCTATTTCAATGAGACTTATGTGACATGTTATTAATAGTCCCTCTCCACTATACAGCATGGTTCTTAAGAATTGCCCTGTGATAAAAGGCTCCCGGGAGATACGGGTATTTTCCAAGCCAGGGTCAGGAACTCATTGAAAAAGGTTTAAAATTAAATGTCTATTCATTAACCTACGAAGTCCATATTGACAAGATGATTCTCTTAGTGACAGTTGAAAGACACGGGGTCCGGGGATGACTGGTCTGTAACATGTGAAGGGGTAAATGTACTTCTGCTCTTTTGTACCTTTATGCATATTATTTTGGTAAAGTGGGATTTTAGGTTAAGCAGTTTTTTTTACCATGAAGCAAAAACAGCAAAGTTTTTATTTAAATAAGATATCCTAGGAATCCTTGCATAAGGCCCAGAACCTAATCAACTATCACTCAGGAATAATGGCTGCTGGCTACAAACGCCCTCCCGGACTGGAACTGTGCCAGGCAGCAAGAGCTGTGTTTCCTGCTTACAGAGTGCGAAAGCCACCTCTCACACTCACAGGACGAAGCCCCTTAGAGTGCCAGGCGGCGCTGGGGACGTGCGCGTTGCTTTGTCCGTGTGGCACTAGGTTTGTGGACTTTCTCTCCAGGGCTGAGCTGTCCAGCTGGCGTGCAGCACGCCCGAGGGGGACTGCGCCTCTGGGTTACACGTGCACCGGCCACCGATTGCCCTCAGCCTTCCGACAGGCGGCGGGCCTGGGCAGCCTCCTCTGTTTACTCCGGGCGACAGGGTGGGGTGGGGAGAGGGGGGGGGTTTCAACAGCATCCTTTTCCCTGCAGGGCACCAGGCACGACTGCTTTGTTTGTGAGATGACCACTCTTTCAATCTCCTGTCTTTGCTTCCCATCCTCTGTCCCCCTGCACTCCAGCCTCACCGTTTTCTGAACAGATTCCCAGTCCATCTGCCACGGGCAGGTTTCGCTGTCCAGGTCGCCTAAGGGCCTGTCAGGGGCCAGCGCTGGCAGCTCCGACTCCCGTGAAGGCAAAACTGGCAGGCGGCTGAGGAGACCCAGCATTCAGCCGGGGGAAAGAATGGGTAAAGCCGACGCAGCCTATTACTCTTCTCAGTTTGGGCTTTATTTGGGAGGAGTTTCTGTGCCACAACAATGTTGAATCATACCAACGTCTAACTTTTATACAAACTACATTCCAGTTCTATAACGGTCCACGCATAATCCATCAACCTAACAATTTTCTTTAATTGAATCTCAGATGCTGAGACATGTACTTAAATATAGAAATTACTATATTTAATCGGTGATTGTAATCTGGAGGTCTGAACCCACAGCTACTGGAAAAGTGAGATTCTAGGTGCTATTTTCTTTCCAAATTCAAAGAAAAAAAAAGTATGGATTTTTTTTATTTTAACAAGGTTGGGAGCAAAACTAAACCGCTTACAGGATAGTGTTTATCCTCATTCAGTTAGCATGGACCAAGTGAAATGTCACCCATCTCATTAAACATTAAAAAAAAAGTACATTTTTTTGGTTGAAATTGAAATCTCAGTAATATGCTTCTGATTATTACAAGTAGAAAACCATTAGTTATAACTTAACTCATTCAGTTTAATGTCCAAACATTGAAGAGCACGGGGTCTCCAGTGAGCAAGAAATAACAAAAGGAATACTTGGTAATAAATGTAGAACAAAGCAGTTAAGTGAAATTTGCTTGTGACTTACTACTAGGTATGTCGTACTATTAAGTAAGAAAAATTGTCTTTTTTATGTCATAAAATTACACTTAGCGGATTTCCGCAAAGTCAAGGTTGTGGGCCTTACCTGGCTCCTGAGAAAGCGCCGGATGACGCCCTTGAAAAGGTTTGGGTGGCCTTTCTTGGGCTCTGAGAGCTTCATCTCCCTTTCTTGGGCTCTGAGCGCTTCATCTCCCTTTGTTTACAAGTGAGCGGAGACCCCCAAGCATCCTTCAGGCTGCTGGAGACAGAGGCGTCCTGGGTGGGGCAGTAGAGACGGGTTTTTAAACAGGAAGAGCCCAGCATCACTGGTTACTGTTGGCAGAGAGGGATCTAAAGAAGAGATTGAAACAATGAACAAGTATTGAAATGGTGTTTGCCGGGTACCAGGCCCTTCTAAGCTCGTTAGAGGCACTAACCCTTTAATTTAACCCCCACGACAACCCATTAGGTGCCACTATCGTCTCCTTTAACCGACGAGGAGAGAAGCACAGGGCGCGTAAGTCACTTTTGTGTTCACTGGACAGAGGGTGACTAGGGTGCAGGCCCAGGCGGCCTCTGTGGCTGGTGACAGACAGTGCTGACCTGTGCACCCACCGCCCTGGCTTTCTGGTGCCGGCTTCACGCCGGGGACAACCCACCACTCTCACCAAGCACTGGGGTGGCCTTGGCAGGCACACCAAGGGCCCAGGCACATCAGTACATAGACTTCCGCTTTTTAAAAATAAGATTATTCATCAGTTTCTAAGATGTTCATATTTCCCTTTTAGTGTTAACCTAAACTTTCCTTTAAAAAAGCCAACCTCGTCTCATTCGGTGGGAAGCAAACCCAATTTGCTGCAATGCCACGGACTGGACACACAGAGCAGATAACGGCAGGAGGGCCACCTCCGTCATCAGCTGAAAACGTGACCCCTGCACACACACACACACACACACACACACACACACACACCCCGGGGCGGGGGGGGGGGGGGGTGAGGGGCAGCGGCTTTTGCACAAAGGGCAGGTCCGGCCGGCAGGTGAATGAGACAATTGGCCCAATGAAGCCGGCGGTGCCGCTGCGCTCCAGGCCGGGGCGGGGGGCGGGGGGGGGGGGCGGGGTGGAGAGGGGCTCGCGGGAGGGGGTCCTTCCCGCCCCGGAGGGACCCGCAGTCGCCGCGGGAGGACCACCCTCACCAGGGCCGCCGTCAGAAGGGAGGCAAGTCCTCCGATCAGGGCCACACGCAGACCCGCATCGCGTCCCCTTCCGCGCGGGAGGGCGGTGTCACTGGCCTGGATGGGAAAACACCGTCTCCCCGGCGTGTATTTCGGGGGGAATCACCCCATGGAAGTCGTCCCCGCGGACACCCCTCTCCCTCAGGGACAGCATCCATGACTGGCTCCCCGGTGGACAGTGTCCGAGGCTCGCGACGCCCCTCGGCCCCCGGCGGCGCGGCGAGCGCTGGGGTCCCCGCGAGCGGGGGCGGCGGAGACGCAGGAGGCGGGGGGCGGGGGGCGGGGGGTCCCGGCGCCGGGGGCGGGGGCCGTTTCCCCGCGAGCCGGCCAATCTGCGGGCGCGGGGTTGCGGGAGCGGAGGGTGGCGGGCGGGGACCCCCAGGTTTCCTCGGGCGCGGGCGCAGCGCCGCCTGCAGTTTCCAGCGGAGGCGCGGAGCCCCCCGGGGTTCAGGGCCCGCCCGCCGCGTTTCCCCCGCCGCTCCCCCGCCCGCAGAGCCGCCCCCCGCGACCCGGACCCGCTCCCCGGCGCCCGCCCCCCCTCCCCTCCCTCCCCTCCGGGCGCCGCGGCTCCGCCCTCCGCGCTCGCCGGCCGCTGTCCGCCGGGTCCGGGCCGCGCGGGGGCGGTGCCGGGAGCCTCGCGGCGGGCGGCGGGCGGCGGGGATGCTGCTGCGGCCGGGCGGGCAGCGGGCGGGGGCCGGAGCCGGAGCCGGAGCCGGAGCCGGAGCCGGAGCGCGCTGGTCTGCGGCCGGGACGCCGCCTCCGCCCGGGATCCGAGTCCGCGGCCGCCGCGGGGAACCGGCGCCCGGAGCGGCATGAGCAGGAGGCTGCGCGCCCGCGAGCTCGCCGCCCCTCGGCCCCCCGGGCCCCCGCCGGCCCCCGCGCCCCGACCCCCGCGCCCCCGCTAGCCCGCGCAGGGCCGGACCCGCGGCCGGAGGCGGAGGAGCAGGAGGAGGAGGAGGACGAGGTGCCGGCGGCGGCCCAGGCCTGCGGAGCGCGGGCGCCGGACCCTGAGCGCAGCCGGAGCCGCCGGGGACCGGCCGTCCGCAGTTGGCGGTCCCCCGGGGTCACCGCGGCGCCGGCTCCTCCTTCCCTCCCGCCGCCGGTGCCGGCGGGTCAGCCCTGCGTCCTTGGCCTCCGAGTCCTCGCGTCCCCTCTCCCCCCAACCCTCTCCCGGCCTCCCCCCCCCCCCCCCGCGCTCCCTCCCGGCTCCCCGGCTCCCCGGCTCCCATTCATCCGCGCGCCCGCCATCCCTCCTTCCGCAGGGCTCGGGGGCCGCGCACCCATGGAAGTTTAGGGCCCGCGGAGCGCAGCCCGGGCCGCCGGCCGCGAGGAGGAAGATGTCGGTGCTGCGGCGGGCGATGCGGGTCTCCAACCGCTCCCTCCTCGCCTTCCTCTTCTTCTTCTCGCTGTCCTCGTCCGGCCTCTACTTCGTCTACGTGGCTCCGGGCCTGGGTGAGCGCGGCGCACCTGGCTCCCCGCGGCCGCGGCGGGAGGCGCGGGTGTCGCCCGGGGATGTGGGCGCGGGGTCGTCAGGGCCCCCGCAGACAGCGTTTCGTGTGACCTGTGGTTTCAGGGGTGTCCCTGACACAGCCCGGCCTGGCTTTGGGGGGTGCGTTTGGTGAGGGCACGTTTAAAGGAGCTAAGAGCGCATCCCGGGGACCGAGCGCCATTAGGCGCCGTGGCCCGGGGCGCCCTGGACCCTTCCTGAGTATCCATGACAACGTCACCCCTTTCACCCCAAGCCTTTAACTTTAGACTCAGGGCTTCCTCGTAGCTGTACTCAGACACCCGCAGAGGGAACATCTGCTGTAGGGTCGGGTGGAGAGGCCGAGGGCAGGACGTGGGCTTGAGCCCCGTGTCCGCATCCTCCGGCCCAGGTCGCCGGGGAGAGCGGGGCTTGTGGGCCAGAGCGCAGGCGGCCGGTGCGCTGCCCTGTAAAGCACCCGCGCTATTGAGTCCGCGTGGGTCCGCTTTGCAGGGAGAGGTGTAGCCTCTCCACCTGCTGGGATGACTTCCGAGACGAAATAAAACTCAGAACACCGCAATTAGGTAAGGTAGTTTGTAGTTTAACGTGTTAACCTATTTACCACTTTCTGGCCTTGGGGCCAAAATGCACTTTGGTATAATCTGCCTGAATTGGCTTATTTTTTTTTTTTAAATATTTCTTTATTGATTTCAGAGAGGAAGGGAGAGGGAGAGAGAGAGAAACACCAATGATGGGAGAGAATCATAGATAGGCTGCCTCCTGCACACCCCCTACTGGGGATGGAGCCCGCAACCCAGGCATGTGCCCTTGGTCCCAATAGAACCTGGGACCCTTCAGTCCGCAGGCTGACGCTCTATCCACTGAGCCAAGCCGGCCAGGGCCTGAATTGGCTTCTGTATGAAATAAATATCCAATTCCTCAGCCCCCTTTGGTTGGGAAGGGGCCAGTGTGGCGTTCGCATGAATGAGAAATAGCAACCTCAGGTGGACATGAAAACGCCCTGTATTTCCACAACTGTTCTGAGTTCTCCCTGGTTGTTAGGTGTTTAATGTGAGCTTCCTTAGGACCCGCGTGGCGTCTCCTGTCATTTCTTGTGAGACACTCATCTTCTAAGCCAGTGTCACTGCTCCCTTTGACGTGGCTGGAAATGTGTGGGCTCGCACAGTGAGAACCTGCTGGCTTCTGAGGTGGGATTATTATCCGGGCCTTGTCTCCTGTGGTTGTAGGCTACTGTGGTGCATTGTGAGGTGGGCGGTGGGGATGGAAGAAGCAGACCTCACTGAGGGTTTTCCTCTTGTTTACAAAGAAATACTTCATTAACTCTTGAACAAGGGGGTTGGCATTCTAGTTTATTTCAATACTTCTCAAAGTAAAACAGTATGCCCTGAATTACTTTTTTGTATCTTATTATTTTTTACTAAAGTAGAAAGTATGGTATAGATATTAGTTCAGGTGTACACCTCGACTTTTCTTGATTAAATGTTGGGTTCGGTGAAGATATATAAGCTCAGATGATGCTTGAGAAGACATAAATCTTGGAAACCTGGATGTATCCCGAAATAGAAGTTTGAGGCCAAAGCTTGAAGAAGTATGAATAGTTTAACATGTTATTTCTCTTTAATGCAGCTTTTTCCTTTAGGCTAATTCAGATACTCCTTGCAGCTGTAGTAGAAACGACAGTGGGCGCTCAGTGGATTGAGAGTAGTTAACCAAAATAGTCAGCAGGCTTTTCTTAAAATCCTCTGCCATTTTGGAAGACTTAAATGAACTCCTCATTCTACAGCAGTTTTTATTTTCTCAGGTAGCTCTTTAAGGATTGGACGTCTTTGGGGGGGTGTTATTTTATTAGACATTTAACTGAGATATGTTGGAGGACAAGTTTTTTTTATACTTAGATAACAGTTTCTTATTTTCTTTTTTGAACAACATAACACGTTAAAGGTATGTTACTCAAAAAGCTAACCAAAGGAAATGAGAGTTTCAGCTCTTACCTGATAGTCATCCATTTTTTTTTGGTTAGTGCATTAGTATATCATCTAGATTCTTAAAATTCAATTGATGCGAAATATGAATACATTTAAAAAAATTTATGCTTAATGTTTGCCATAGAACAAATACTTACAGGTCATAAAAATTTTGGCCATTTTCTTAGGTTCAGACACTACTGTTTTGATGGGTCTTAAAATTTATGACTTTAAAAACTTGATTAAACCTAGCAAGAATGGAAAACAAAACGTATGCTAGTAAAGTTCTCTCCGTTGAATGGAAGCTATTACTTAGTAGAAGAAAAAAAGCCTCCTTATTTATTTATCTTTTAAGTATTGGGAACAGTTTTCCAGTGTTCACGTTTTTGCTTGAAAGCTTGAATTTTATCATTGGCTACAAACACTGTCAGTTTTTCTTGAGGTGTCAGGCTCACTTTCTTCATTTTTGGGAAAATGCAGGTCAAATACAGACGTTTAAACAACCATTGTTTGTCAGTTGTTCTTTCAAGTAAAAATAATGCTCCATGAAAGATGTAGCTAGTTCAGCTCCCAGTCCATCAGTCAGTTGCATAATTTGATTTTCAAAATGTCCCTGGTGCTTTGGTGTGCTGCAGAAATGCTTTCTGCACACTTTCCATTTCTTCATAGATTTCTTATTAATGAGACGGACCCAGAACTAATTAGGTCCTTATAGCTAGTTCATTATAGACACCTAGAATCTTTCTGAAATAATTTCTATTTTAGCCTGGATTACATTTTGAGGTAAAATTTTATTATCACTAAAATATATGTTGTAGAAGAGAGCCCCTTTTATTAATTTAAATGAATGCTTCGACTCCCCTGTTAAAAAGTTTGTATTAATCTTGTGTCCGTCAGCCTGCTTAGTAGACATCAAGTATATACTTCCTGCCTTTTCCACCCACAGACCTACTTTGTCAGGGGCCTTCCCCAGGCTTCCTCTCCCTTTACTTCTGCTTTCTTCGTCTCCTTCACCTGTGTTCTTCCCTCCTCCCTCTTTACGAAGACAGTGCCGCGCAGTGGTAGACGCCTGTCTGTTTAGTTTCTGATGTCCCCCATGTTGCTCAACAGTTGCTGGGCTGTGTGGGCCTTCGTCTGCAATGAGCCCCACCAGACTCAAAGCTCATTCTTTCAAGAATAATTGGAAACATTTTTCTTGATATTCTAATCCACGCAGGAGACACAGGAGACTAGGTAGTTTTTATGTTGTGAACGTTAGTGCTCAGGAAAACGGGTCTGCAGCTACCCCTCCCCGCCCCCACTCTCCCCAGAAGGCCCTGGACAGGCTGCCCTAGCCCGCCCCGTCCAGGAGGAGCCCCCAGCTGCCTCTCTTGCACCATTGATCGCAGGAAGGCGAGTGCAGTTTCCCCGCAAGGAAGCTGGCTGCTGGGCTGAGAAGGGGATTCCCTTTAGTCTGGAAGCGGCTCCAGTGTCACCTCCAGCCCCACGCAGCCGTTTCCCTGCGACGGCGTGAGAGGAGCAGGTGAGCTGAGGGCAGTTCATCCAGCGAACGCGGTCAGGGAACTCAGGTTGAGCAGGTGAGCTGAGGGCAGTTCATCCAGCGAACGCGGTCAGGGAACTCAGGTTGGCTGGGCGTTGTGTGGGCTGGGGGATGGAGAGGTGACTGAGACACAGTTCCTGCCTCCGGGACGATGGGCTGGCCGTGAAAGAGCTGCAGCAAGAGAAACCCAGCCCAACAGTCAGGGGCCTCTGCGCA